ACAAGCTTAGGGAGGGGCCTCAACTCTCTGTCCCTTGAGTATGTGACCAGAATCATGGGTTCCTAGGAGGCCCTTTGTCTTGAGGGGAGGGCTGGGAATTAGATGGCCTCCTGACCCACCAGTTGTAAAATCTGCAGACCTCAGGATGTGCTAACTAATCTTGCCTGAGCAAATGGTAGCTATCTCTTGGTTTCATAGGGACCCTTAATTGTTAATTATTGACACATTGGCCGGTGGGGCAATCTGTTTCCTGCATGAGCCCCTCGGGGAGGGTGGCCATCTGGGAATTCTTGGTACCCAGTTATCTTATGGCCTTGAAAGGGAGTAATTGTTGGCGGCTGGTAAATTACAGGCACTAAGTCATAGTAGTGGCCTTAGTCAGTTTCTGGGTTAGGCCACCCTACATTCTGTTTGGAGAATTTCCTTATCTGGGCTATATTTCTTTGCTAATTTTTAAGTCTTTCAGGAAGACCTAGATTCAGGTCCCACACCCATCTGATGTCTCACAAGCATCTATAGTTCCAGTTTCAGAGTATTCAATGCCCCCTTTTGACCTCTGTGGGCACCATGCTAGAGTGTGAAGGGACCTGCTCCCCTTTTGGCAGCCATAACAGCCGAATACGTGCTTGCCATAAACCTGCCTTGGTCACTTAGAGGTCAGATGCCTATCTCGTGACAAGGAAACAATCAGAAGTTAGTCACTAGAAAGTCAGATGCCTGCCTCGTGAAAAGGAACCAATCAGAAGTTAGCTGGTGGCGCTATGCTTTACGACCCTGGGTGTGCTTTACGGACAAGCGCACAACAATGACGCAGAGAGCATAGCAACCACCCTGGGAGGGCCTATGGGCCATAACAACCAGTTGACCAATCAACACAGGGCAAGCCCTCCAAGCCTGGAGGCACACCAATTGTGAGCCTGTGCGTACCCCTAGACACTCCCCTTACGCTGCCCTATAAGATCTGTGCACAGCGCCTTCAAGCCGTCTTTGCTAGCCATCTGCCATGGTGGGTGGATCAAAGACCCGAGCTAACATGGGGTTAGCTCGTTAAACTACAATAAAGCCTCATGCAATTTGCATCAAGCTTTCGCCTCCATTCTGTGTTTGGGGTGGCCGCCGTCCTGGGCTAAGATTCTGGAAGCCTCAGCTTTCCGGGGTCTTACAAGTGTAGTATGCAGATACATATGTAGTGTGTTAATCTCACTGACTGAGAGTAAAGACCATTGTTATGTTTTTGTTTAAATTAGATATAAAGAAAAGGAGGAAAGTGCGCAAGATGAGACATGCTGACTAGTTTATTATATGCCCAGCAGAGTCGGGAGACTAAGAGAGAAGAGGAACAGGGGTAATGGCTGACCGCCATGACCGGTAACCATAGAGACAGAGTGTGCAGGTGGGAGAAGAAATAGTGAAGCAGAAGCAGAGAGAGAGCAGAGAGTAAAGAGTGCAAGCAGCAGGGAAGTTGCAACTTTTAAAGGGAAGATTGTGCATGTGCACTGAGGTTCCATGCATGCCCAGAGTCCTCACACAGGCTGCAATGTGTGGCGGGTGATGTGGTGATGATGTAGTACGTTTTCCTGTGCGTGCCCTGATGTTGTCAGGGGGCGGGGTCTGTCTCTTAAAGAGGTAGAGCCCATCAGCATTAAAGCCTGAATCTTTCAACCATCCACATTTTTGGTTAAATTAAGCAATCTTTATTTTCTGTCAGATAGGGCTATCTCCCTAATTTGTGGTTTGAAAAAACAGCAATGAACACACAAGAAAGTTGGGTTGGGAGATATCCATAGGAATTTTGCCTTTGTAGTAACTTGGCTGAACTTCTCAAAATTATTTGGCAGATCATGTTATCTATGTTGTGGAGATTAGGGTATAGTGTGTAGAGCATGTCATTTCCAGAAGATGGGTCAAGACCTGGTCAAATCCAAGTTTTACAGAAAACAGGAATGAATTTATTTTGACCTTGTAACAATAACAATTAAAAGCATGCAATGCCGGTCGGTGGTGGTGCACGCCTTTAATGCCAGCACTCGGGAGGCAGAGGCAGGCGGATCTCTGTGAGTTGGAGGCCAGCCTGGTCTACAAGAGCTAGTTCCAGGACAGCCTCCAAAGCCACAAAGAAACCCTGTCTCAAAAACCAAAAAAGAAAAGAAAACAAAACAAAACCACACATAGATATATAATTAAATAGATAAATTATATAAAAATAAAATTTATAACATACATGTATTTTTTTTCCCGAATCAGGGTTTCACTGTGTAGCTCTGGCTGTCCTACAACTCACTATGAAAGACTTAAAAATTAGCAAAGAAATATAGCTCCCTCCCATGCTATCAGATGGGATTCTGGCACCTTGAGTTGAAAGTTGCCTACTCCTAGCCAAACAGGCATGGCTTTGTGGTATAAAGTTACAGCCTGTGGATGCTAGGGTCCTGTTATGACACTGTAGCCGGATTTCCCTCCACTGGGCTGCTCTGGTCATTCAGATTCAAGAGTTGATTACAAATTATTATGGGTTAGGGTAATAAAAATTGGTACATATTATTAATTAAGAGAAAAGGAGAGCTGGTAGGCTAACATAAATAGTAAATGGAACAAGCAGTTAAGAGGGTGCAGAGAGGCTCAGGAAAAGGTACACTCAGGATTTAAAAAAAAATAAAAAGATAAGGCATTCACTTCAGCCAGGCACCCCTGAGTGAGAGTCACTGATAAGAGGGGAAAAGAAAGAGACAAAGAGAAAAAGAGAGGTTTGTCTAAGATAGGGATGTCTGACGGAATCAGAGAAAAAGAGTAAGGTAATAGAAATTTAAAGAGGGTCAAAGAAAGTCGTAAAAGTGTCAGAGAAGAATGTAAACTGTTTGCTAAGGGCTCTCATATCTACAAATACTAAGTTTATAATGATAATATAGATTAAAATTTTTTAACCATACCAGGTTAATCCTGTTTAAAGTTTTATGCCCCAAAAGAAAATTATATATTCTTGTTAAAAGGTTGTATCTGTGTTTTCTGGTATAAAAGTAAATTTTGGTACAAGCATAAAGCTAAAACAAAAGTGGTTTAAATATTTTTGCTGTCTAATGCTAACAGCAGCCAATCATTTAAGGACATAGTTCAGAATTTATCTCTGAGCTCTAGTTGGGTTATCAGGAATTCAGATGTCTTTCTAGTAAAGACTATATTAAAACTGTTTTATGGTTAAATCGGTCAAAAATTAAAACTAGTTAAAAGGTTAAAACTAGTAACACTGGGAATTGACAACATAAATTTAATAATCACCCAGGTGATAATGGTTTTAAACACATCAAGGGTGCTTTATTTTTGATATTATAACAAAAAGACATTAACAGATTTTTAATTGTTCAAATTTATAAGGTTATAAGATATTTATGCTTATGTTATATTCTTAATGTTTATGCTTAAATCAAAGAGCTAAAAATTAAGATCACAGCCATAAGTTCCATATGCTAACAAAAAATTGAGCTGTTTATTTCTTATGGTACAGTAAGACAATGACCTAAGTTTAACAAAGGGCTTAAAATAACTTCTAAACCCATGGGTCTCAATTCTTTGGAGGTTTAAAAACAAAACTCTTTTATATGGGTAGCCTAGAACCACCTGTATGTTTATATTGATAACAAAAAAAAATTGTAATAAAAATGAAAACATCAAAATTTTAAAGATAAACCCGACAATATAAAGTCTTAGTTTTATAAAAGCTACTAACCTGTTGTAAGATATTAAAAAATACAAGTTACTAGCCATCCCTATAAATAAAAAAGTTCATTGGTTATGGTTGTTAGACCCCCGAAAACCTCAAGTATCCGGGGTCCCAGGCCACGTTAGCGGTCACCCCAATCACCAGGCAGATTCGAGAGCTTGCTGCAAACTGCACGAGGCTTTATTGTAATTTAACGAGCTAACCCCATGTTAGCTCGGGGCTTTCACTCACCCGCCATGGCAGATGGCTAGCAAAGACGGCTCCTACGGGCTCCCAAAAGATCTTATAGGGCAGCGTAAGGGGAGTGTCTAGGGGTACGCACAGGCTTACGCACAGGCTCACGATTGGTGTGTCTCCAGGCTTGGAGGGCTTGTCCTGTATTGATTGGTCAACTGGTTGTTATGGCCCATAGGCCCTCCCAGGGTGGTTGCTATGCTCTTCGTGTCATTGCTTGTACGTAAAGCACACCTAAGGTCGTAAAGCATAGCGCCACCAGCTAACCTCTGATTGGCTCCCTGTCACGAGACAGGCATCTGACTTTCTAGTGTCTAGGTCAAGGTCATAGAAGCACATGTTCGGCCATAATGGCTGCCAACAGGGAAGCGGGTTCTTTCAATGGTCAAGCTAAGTACTTATGATTAATAACAGGGATAAACCTGACTCAGTCCCCGGTATATGACTTCTAATACTATAGAGATCTGCAGAGTATGGCATTTAAAGTGCTAACTAAAAAGCTTATAATATCAGACAGATAATTCCAGATCCTGACAGTGACCCAAGGTCTCTAAAGAAGATTATGGGGCTCCATGGACTGTGACAATGCTGACCAATGAGCATGATGCTCAGATGCTAAACCTGCTGCCAGACAGGACCGGGCTCAGACTGTGGACAGGCTACAGGACACTGGAGAATTGATTTCACCACCTTTGCCTAGACAAAATAAGGTCAGTCTTTTCCATGTCCCTCTTCCACAGAGAGAAAAAACTCTCACTATATGGACCTGGCGAATATTTATTACTGCCCCCAACACTATTGAGACTTGGGTATGGCTAACTTTATATGGAATGGACCCTGTCATTTTTAAATAGATTCAGAAGTTACACAGAATTTATCCTTCTCAGAAGTCTGATAGTATTAATGATTAGACTAGCTATACACGCCGGCTTGACGCATGCTCAATCTTAGGTTCCCACAGTCCTTATTCTGCCGTGCTGGGCAGTAAATTTGACCCTGTCCGGCTACCGTTGAGCGGCCGGAAGGGCGCTCGATTTTGCTTCCGGGCCTTTTGCTTTTCCCTCTTGATCCCTCACGCGCCTTTCCCACCCCCGCTCTCTCTCGCTCTCTCTGGGTTTCTGTGTTTGTGGGCGAGGCCGAGCCCTGGAGTCGGAATCTGGGGTCCTCGTGGTTGGGAGCCGCAGTGGTGAGGAGGGCTGGCTGAGGTAGGCTGAGGCGGGCACCCCGGGGGTTTTCTGTGGGAGGCGGCAGCTGTGTGTAGGCCGAGGCTCCTTCCCTTGGTGGCCGAGCCCCGAGCGCGTGATTCGAGTGTAGAGGTTGTGTGGCCTCTGCTGCAAGCTGTGCTCTGTGCAGGTAGCAAAGACCTCGTGTTTCCTCCTTTCCTTCCCTCCTGCTGGACGCAGACTCCGGGCCGGGTGCAGCCGAGGACCCCTTCCCCTGTGCAGCAACCCCCTGCCTGGTCGTAGGAGTTACTTCCCACGGGGAAGCAAAGTAACGTAACGGGAGAAAAGGTGTCAAAACCCAAGATGGAAGTAGTTAGTTACGGCCCAGCTGTGTCCAGGTGGACGTGGTACTTCAGCTTAGACACAGCGCAGAGACGGATTCGTCTCCTTGATAAACAGGGAGCACGTTAGCTCACAGAAATACCTTCCTTTGTAGACAAGCACGCTTCAGTTTTGCGAATCATTGTTTTGGGCAGCTCTCTACTGCAGACCGGTGTTCTGCAAGCCCTCCAAGCTGTTCCTCATGCCCGTGGGTCTGTGTGAGAAGGTGAGTTTCCCCAGAAAATCTCCGGGTGGCATTCTGGTGAAGGAGGAGAGAGAACAGACTATGAACAAGAGCTTGCAGGATAGGAGTGCGTTTTATGATGAGGCTGAAATTGCCGGCTTGTTGATGTCAGAGTCATCGTGGTTCCTTGTTCTGCACAGGGCAAAAGCATGTCCTCCCTCCCTGGGTGCGTTAGTTTGGATGCAGCAACAGCTGCCCCTGACTCTGAAGACATGACTGAGCTGCAGCAGGCAGTGGTTGAAGAGCTGGGTATCTCTATGGAGGAACTTCGCCAGTTCATTGATGAAGAGCTGGAAAAGATGGACTGTATACAGCAGCGCAAGAAGCAGCTAGCAGAGTTGGAGACGTGGGTGCTGCAGAAGGAGTCTGAGGTGGCTTATGTTGACCAGCTCCTTGATGATGCATCCAGGTAAGGATTCATGGGAGCAAAAGTACCGTCCGTTTGCAGGCTTGTTAGGGTGATTGTTCATAGCAGAGTTCAGCCATGTGGGGCCTAACGCTTCCTTGAGATTCGCCCGCCTCTGTCTCCCTAGTGCTGGGAGTAAAGGTGTGTCATCACAGCCCTGCCTTCCTTAGTGTTTACAGTGCAGAGTTGCAGCATACACTTTTCACCCATGTGTATGGTAGCTGGTACACGGTCAGCAGTAGGGAGGTTAAAGGTTTGAATTCCTTTGTCTTCCTCCTCCTTTCTTTAGTAAGATGACCAGGAAGTGAAGATAGTAGAGTTGATGTTTTCTGTTTTTCCTTTTCTTTTTTTTCCAACGTGGGGGTGTGGTGGGGGCTGTTTTAAGACAGGATTTCTCTGTGTAACAGTAAGATCAGGCTGGCTTCGAACTCACAGAGATCTGCCTGTCTCTGTCCCCTGAGTGCTTGGAATGAAAGGCACTTAGCACTACCACCCAGCTCTGTTTTTCATTTTGTTGTGAGACAGAATCTCAATGTGTAACTTTAGCTGGCCTGAAACTTGCGGAGATCTCCAGAGTGAGTGCTGCAGTTACAGCACCCCAGCTTTGGTTTGGTTGGTTTTTTAGGGTCTCACCACTAGCAGAGTGTAGCCTTGAATTTGCTTGGTCATGATCTCCACCCTCCTGATGTTGCTCTTTTACATCCGCAGTGTTGGGATTATAGGTGTGGGCCAGCATGCCCGAGTTACGGGTTGTGTTTGGGATTGCACCAAGGGTTAAGCAATCATTCTGCCAGTTGAGCTAAATCGTCAACCTCTCAACTTGCTGTCTTTAACTGTGAAACATTAACAAATTCCAATCAGATTGCCACAGCAACTTCAGTCAACCAAGTAGATGATGTTAGTATTGCACTCAGGTGAATTTTGGATTGTTGATAAACTAGTTGAAAACTGTTGCAACTACTTACTTGTTTTGGTTTTTGGTTTTGAGGGAAAGTTTCTCTATGTGTCTTTGGCTGTCCTGGAACTCTTTCTGTAGTTCAGGTTGGCCTCAGCAGAGGATCACTCGGAAAGATCCTCCTGCTTCTGCCTCTTGAGTACTAGGAGTAAAGGCATACATCACCATTGTCCAGCTTATGTATTTTCCTTTTTTTTTTTTTTTTTTCCCCTTGGATGTAGTGTCTCTTTACATGACTCTAGCTGCCTTGGAATTCACTATGTAGACTGACTTGGCCTGGAACTCATAGAGATCCCCCTGCCTTTGCTCCTGAGATTAAAGGTGAAGGCCTGTGCCATCTGTCCTGTTGAAATTAAGCCACCTTTAAAAACCTTATTCTTAAAAAACAAAACAAAGAAACAAACAAAAAACCTTATTCTTAGTTCCCAAATCCATATAGATAATTGGTGCCAGGTCTTCTGACTTCCAGCAGGTACAAAGATACAACTGTGCCAGATTGTTTCATGAAGAAACAAGAAGCATTATGGAGAATGCATTCTAAATAGATACTTTGGAACATTAAGTGCAAACAGTCTTTCTCTCTCTCTCTCTCTCTCTCTATATATATATATATATATATATATATATATATTTTTGTTACTGTGTTGTTGTTGCTGTTTTCAAAGGTTTCTCATTGCTGGCCCTGAACTCACTGTATTGTCTAAGCTGACCTCAAACTTAGGCAGTTCTGGTACCTCAGGCTCCTAAGTACTAGGATCATAGGTGTGAGCTCCTAGGCTTCGTATTGCATTAATGTGTATAAATTCTAACGCTTTCCCCACTGGCTTTGATCTTTTCTAATGTGTTCCAATATTAGGGCAGTGATCAATTGTGAGTCTTTGGTGAAGGATTTCTACTCTAAGCTGGGACTGCGGTATCATCACTGTAGCTCCGAGGATGAAGCTTCCCAGCCTACAGAAATAATTGAGATTCCTGATGAAGATGATGATGTCCTCAGTATTGATTCAGGTAAATGATGAAGCTTTAGTTAGAAAATTCTTAGAATGGGCCAAGTGTGGTGGCATGCGCTTGTAGTCCCAGCACTGGAGGAGGCAGAGGCAGGCAGATGTCTGAGTTCCAGAACAGCAGAGCTATGCAGGGAGAGCCTGTCTCAAAAAGACCACAAAAAGAAAGAAAGAAAAAAAGTTCTTAGAATGGAAGGTGAATTATTAGAAGATGAGCAGGTAGAAAATAAGGAAACATATTGTCAGCAATTCCTCATACCCACTTGCTGGGCTTATTTATTATAGAAAAAAGCAAGTTCCGTAAGTGCTATATCCTGATTGCTTCCTTTTCCCATTTCAGATGAGGTATATTTATTTTCTGTCTCCCCCCTCCCCCCATGTTTGTGTGTGATTTACCTATCTATGTCTAAATTTCTTTTTCAGTTACTATGATAAAATGTTCTGACAAAATCAGTTAAATGGGAGCTAGGTGTTGGTGCATAACTTTAATCCCAGCACTCGGGAGGCAGAGACAGGCTGGTCTCTGAGTTCCAGGACAGGCTCCTACCCATTACAGAGAAACCCTTTCTTGAAAAACAAAACAAAAACAAAAACAAAAACAAACATCCAAAACTCAGTTAAAGGGAAAGGGACTTAGTCTGGTTCACAGGGATTCATAGTGGCAAGAGTCTGGAGCATCTGGTTCCATTGTATGTGAAGTCTGGAGACAGACTGCCTCATGCTGCCTGCTCAGCTAGCTCTCTTTCTCTCTTTATGAAGTCTAGGGAATGATAACCACCCACAGTGCGCAGGTCCTTCCACCTCTACACAATCAAAATAATTCTCCATTGGCTTTCACAGAGTTCCATTTCCCAAGTAATTTAATTTTGTCAATGTGACATTAATGGTCACAGTGTATGCGTACATATGCATGTTTTGGATGTGTGTGTACGTGCATGTATGTAGGTATGTATGCATGTAGAATTCAGAGGTTTACAGCTTTCTTCCTTCACTTTATTATGGAGGCAGAGTCTCATTGAACCTGGAGCTTGCTAATTCTAGCATGTATAGATAGCCAGCTTACAGTGTGTCTCTGCCTTGTGAGTCCTATGATTACAGGTTTAGGATCCAAACTCCAGGACTTAGGTCTTGTGATGTAAACACTGTATCCATTGAGCCATCTCTCTAGAATTTTTATTTTAAGATAATGATTTTACTGTATCTGTGTGGTGTGGAACTTACCACATAGTGAATACTAGTCTTAAACTTGTAGCAATACTCTTGCTTTTTTTTTTCTTTTTGAGACAGGTTTCTCTGTGGCTTTGGAGATTGTCCTTGAACTAGCCCTTGTAGACCAGGCTGATCTGGAACTCACAGAGATCCACAGGCCTCTGCCTCCCTAGTGCTGGGATCAAAGGCATGCGCTAACAACTCCCTTTTTTTTTTTTTCTTTTTTTTGAGACAGTGTTTCTGTGTAACTTTGGAGCCTGTCCTGGATCTTGTTGTGTAGACCAGGTTGGCCTCAGACATACAGAGATCCGTCTGTCTCTTCCTCCCCAGGAACCACCACTGGTCGGTAGAATACTTCTGGTTTCTAAAAGCTGTGATTACTGACATAGGCCAACATACCAGATTTATGCTGTATCTTATGGTTTACCTTAGTAGGTAAATTCAGCATTTATTTGGATTCCCTAACAGTGCTTGCTTGTTTGCTTGTTTGTTTTTAGTTGTTACAGGTTTTCTCTTAAGTGTCATGCGTCTGTTTTTTACCTTGTATGGATATCTTGCTTACAGGTATGTATATCTACCATGTCTACTCTGTGTGTGCCCAGTATCCACAGAGGCCAGACGAGGACATAGGATCCCCTGAAACTGGAGTCTTGCCTGGTTGTGAGCTTCCTTGTGGGTACTGGAACTCAAGCTGTGTCTTCTGGAAAAGCAGCTGGTTCTCCCAATTGCGGAGCCATCTCCCTAGCCTTTTGTTGCCTGAGGTAAGCATTGGAAGGAATTTACTATTTTTTTTCTTTTTTTTTTTTGGGGGGGGGGGGTGGGGCAGGGGTTCTTTTGTTGTTTTGGCGGGGGGCTGGGTCCC